TATGATTCAAGACGTAATGTGTATAATCTTTGAAGTCCCATTGGAATCTAAGTTTCATTTCCAAAGAAAATTTTATTAGAATAAATTGCACTTTCTTGACATTAAATCATTGCTGTTCATAAGATATGAAGTACAGGGTGACTGCCTTTTAAAGCAATTTCAGTTACCTGAGATTATTATAAATGCTACACTGTAGCTGTCACAAGTTTCACTTTTTCTACAATTGATCTTCTCTGAAACAAGCACAGAGTGATTTAAATAACACCAAAATAACATAGTCTTGTTGTAGAAGTGATTGCCACCACAACACAGCAGATCCTCCATGTGGTGGATATATAACACAGGACAGGGAGCATCAGCTGGCAGCCCCTGAGCTGTAGCAGGCTAACTGGTCACATGCTACTGAATCCAGTCTTGGTTTCCATCTGGTTAATTTTGCTAAAAGAAAGCTAAAATATACTACAAACATTGCCTGAATATCAGCTTACCATGTAAGCACTCTTTGCTGCACCAGGAGTTCTGTGCAATCAGTAATGGAAAGCCAAGTGGTCCATAAACTATGTCGGTGAGATAGAAAAACCAAAATTCCCCTGTTACATATCAAATCAACAAAGCCTTACTGTATTATATACAGTTCATTAATAAATGTCATGTGTGATTAGCAGTGGTGGAGCTGTTAGGGGAATACATTTTCTGCCTTTATATTTGCTGTGTTGTCCATTTCAGCAGTCACTTCAGTTTTATCTTTTGAAGGAGTTATCTCAAGGCCAGGTGGGAGAGAGACCATGAATTGCCTCCTGATATCCCCTTGTCTTGTTCATTCACCACTGTGAGCCAGAGGCACACAAGGAGTTTTCCAGGGAGAAGTGTCTCCAGCATTCAGATATTTCACTGAAATGAGAAATTCCGTAGAGAAGCAACAGAAAATACAATACACTCCATGTATTGTACATCTTTATGGGACCACCAGACACTGTACCTCTGTGACTATAGAAACATACCAGTCTGCCATCCTCTCATTCCTCTTTCCAATCTTCATTTTGTTTGATTTGTATCATCTCTTATTGTTCCATCACCTTTAGGATTTTTGGGTGCAGGGACGGAACTTCGTAACTGATCTATTACAGCACTATTACAAGAGTCTGTTGCTGTCCAGAGCACTGTGAAATATTCTCAGTGTGCAAATCCCAGGTGAGATAGCCTACCTGATATCATCTTGGAATCCTTTGAATTAATTTACTTTGTACCCACTGGCACTGGAGAGGCCATCCTGCAACATGATGTAGAAAATGTCTGAAACAGTGGTTGGTTGATTTCAGCTGTGACTAGGAGGAGAAATATTAAGAAAAAAAATTCACATTTTTTCACCTCAAATGGCACTGGGTGCCATGCTTCTCACATTCATGCTGTGATCATACCCTCTGCACTTGAATGTGGTGACATTTTCTATTTCATATTCAGAAGACTGTGGGAGACTGTAGAAATCAAAAAAGCAACATTTATTTCCCCTTAAATGGGAAGCTGATCTTTCAAGTGCTCAGTAGAACTAATTGAACCCCTAACTGAAAAACAAACACACACAAAAAAGCAAATAATGCTAACAAGACACCATAAGAAAAGTTTGTTTTTGTTATGTGTATGCCTGTGTTTGTTAAACATACCTATTCTAGCTGAGAACTGCAAAGATAGAGGCCACTGAAAACTCTATAGGGACTAGGTTAAAGGAGATGACACAAAGCCTAAAGTTATGGACTTGGATGGAGACAAGTTTCCTTCCTGACACACAAGCTAAACAGCTGGTCACATGTCCATAGAGGACTGAGACCCAGTCCCATCTAGGATCCAGGCTTCTGTTTTCATGACATGTACTTAATTCCAGGTGCTGCCTTTGCAGGTGTCTTCTCATTTGAGAGGGTTATGTTGTCATGTTATAAACAAAGAAAATATAATTCCAAAAGGACTATCAGAGAAAGAAGCAAGACATCACCTGATGTACATTTAGCATTTCCCCCCATACTCCATCCTCTTTTCCACTATCCATAAGGGATCAAGTGACAGAAAGCAGGTCTGAAAATCCATGTCTGTCCAGGCAGAGGCTACCTCCGTTAGGTCCTTCAGAAGACAGTTGTAAGTTACCTTCAGAGGACTCCATAGGGCCAGACTGTGAGCACACATGATTCTGCTGAAATGGAGCTACATCCCTAGGGCTTCAGGTGTTGATGGTCCTCACTGAGAAATCCCAAAAAATACTGCTCTGTTCCTTTGACAGAAAGCTGAGGAGCAGAGTGGGAAAACAATACTGTCAAGCTCAACCTCCCTCTCAATGGGCTTTATCAAGACATGAGAAAATCACCAACTGGATTTTGAAGTTGTTGCATTGCAACTGCTGTTTGAAGGACCTTTTTGCAGATGCTGGGTGTTGGGATACTTCCTTTTGGCCAGGTTATTAATGACATGCCCTAAATGAAAGTGTCAGGCCTAACTTTAGCTTGGAAAAATGTTGTCTTTGCTAGGTGTGTAGAACTCTGAACTATTGCAGAAAAGTGTCTGCAGTTGACAGCCAAATGAAATCTCCAGGTTATGTCTGCAGTGGCTCTCTGTGCATGACACTACTGTCTCCTTTCTACCTGCCCATACAGAGGCTTATTCCACAAAAGTGAGATATTTTTCCACTGTCTACCTACAGTGTCTGCAACTGTCAAAGTAGAAGCTGCTGCATACTCAGCTCTGCAAATATGCGTCTCTATTGAAAAATCTGCAACTGAAATATTAGCAGGACTATCCACATGGAAGTAGAAGCCAAAAATAAAAGAGCTTTGAACATGTCCATTGGAACCAACATTGTGTGACTTTCATTTTTGGTTTTGTTACTCTGGAATAATTTCCATGCTTGAGGACACAGATGCTGAAGCGTTATTTTTAATAATTCTAATGTCGTGACTTAGCACCTGAATTAACATAGCCATTAATATTTAGACTTCTCATGCTCTAGAGAACATGATGAGCTAACATGTTTTTGTATGTAGCAAGACTACAAATCACAGTGTTTAAACCAAGATATAGCTTGGTGTTAAAAAAGCATCATTTCCCATCACAGTTTTTTGGCTGAATGGAAGCTCAGCAAAAGGGAGTCTTTCAGTAGAAGTGACTTTGATGGGTGTCATTAGACATTGGCTGGCACTGACTTTACCTTGCATATGTGGTTTTTATTTTCAGATATGTTTGCAGGAGAAATATTCCTGTTAGGATATTGTGTGTTTATAATTGGTACCTGTATTGAGAATGATGTATGCACTGAAAGCTCACCGAGGCTTACGCAGAGATAAACATATTGAAATAAAACCAATTCTGTGGCCACAGATTGGAAGATCTCTTCCATTTTTATTCTTTACTTTTCCCAGTGGGATTCATGTATTGTGTCTCTCTCATGAGCAATTTGCCATGTGCAGTTATGCACACAGAAGAAACCTGTCTTACAGCATTTTATGGAAGAAACACCCAACTTGTCCTGTTGTTATTACATGTCCCCCAATTCACCAGGTACTTAAAGTTTCCATTCTGCCCCCCAATCTAATTTCTCAGGTGTAACCTAAGATGTTTGACAATAAAAGTATGTTCTGGAAAAAAAAAGTCCATGTTATTAAGTCCTTGAAAAATCTTTCATTTGGCTCTGTGGTATTATTGTTTCAGTTTTCAAATACATATTTTTCTTCCCAAAATGAGCAAAAATGCTACATGATATTCTGGTTGTTTTTCCTTCTTGGCAGTTACAAGGAACTTTCCCAAGTGGTTCTGATAAGCATTAAGTATTTTCATTAAAATGAATTATGTCAACTACCTAAAGTGCAAAAAAGCAAGCTTAAACAAATATTTTGGGTAAAGGAGGGGAAACATTTTGAAAATCCTCCATGTACTTTCCTGGTACCTGATCTTTTATGATTCGTCTGTGAGCAAGCTGAAAAACATTTAGTTGTTCCTAACTAGATCCTATTTTGTTTTACCACTCTTCCCTACTGTTTATTCAAAACTATAAGTGATCCTTGGATATTTTGCTAAACTGTTATTCAGTCAGGGGATGAAAAGTCTGAGGAATGCCATGGGATTATTATAACAGTATAATTAGCTTGCAGACAGCTTTCTTCTCAACAGCTTTCAAAAGCTCTTCTATCCATCTCACTTACCCAAGTAATTAATTAAACACAGCTGCAGACTAGAACAACTGTTGCAAAAAAAAAAAAAAAAAGAGAAGTGTTTGCTGTTTGCTTTTCCTGCTCACTTCTAGGCAGTAGAAGAAGAGGAAGTCACGCAGGAGCAGTTACGACAGCTAAGGACCGTCTGCTTTGCTCCATCGCCTGAAATCCTGTAAAGGAAGACAGAGGGGCAAAAGCACTCATGAAGCACAGTTCTTGCTGTGGCCAACTCATGCCTCAAGTAGGGTCGACTCTTTTAAAATCAGTGCTAGTCTAATGTGCCTATGTCCTGGAAAAGACCCAAGGAGGAAAAGCCCTGAGGGTCCTTGCCAAAACTCCTGTGTCATGTCTTTTTTATACACTGTTAGAAATAAAGTACATAAGTGAGAAAAATGGAATAATTGAAGCAGTCTGAGTTTGGAAGAGAACTGTCAGGAAGCTGGAGCAGATGACTTGAATACTTTCAAATGTTCCTGGAAGCCAACTGTGCTAAAAAAAAAGTAATACTGGAAATGGTGCCATCTTCTCAACTGCTATATGTGGTAGGCTCAAAGGTGCAGGGGACTCACAAGAGATTCCTTTGGGATAACTAAAGAGAAAGCAAACTTCACTGCAAATTCACTCAAAACATTCAAGACTATCATAATCCATGGAAGGAAGTGACTTGGGAAAGGTATATTTTCTGTCCAGGAAGCCAGATATCAGGCCAGATGACCGAACGTTATAAGTCAGAGTTATATAATAAAGGTATTGTTCAATGTGAGTGGTTAAGCTAAGCTAACAGTCAAGCTAAGCCATACTGAGCAGCACTGCAATTCTTTCCTTTTAATGGCCTTTACCTACCAAACATAGCAAAGACCACAAAGAGAAAGTAACAGTACCATCAGCCGTAGGCAGTGTTACCTGGGGCCTGGAGCACAAAGTAGCTGTGGAGGTAAAGATTCAAAGAGTGAATGATATTGCATCTTTTTTGTCTTTTCATGTATCAGGTGCTTTCCTGGCAGAAAATGTAGAGAAGTACAAGAAGCAAGTGTTAGTCTTTTCTAAGGGCGTCTGGGGATGCCCGTGTGCTGTCACAGCCTTCCCTGTTTCACAGTTACAAATGGCCTGCTACAGCAGAAAGTATTTTAAGACCTGTTTGATTACTTTTCCACAAAATGCCAACACTGTCAAGGACTAAGAAAGCCCTGTACCCAGGGTTTAGCTTTTTATTTTTATTTGCAATGTATTCAGTGGCAGCCATTCTGGTTTAAAATGAAAAAGAGATTTGTCCTGGAAGGGAAATCATTTATCCTCACATGGCACAGGTTTCACAATGTGTGGAATGTCATCATCCATGTACTGTCCAACTTTCTTCACCTTCTCCGTGATGATGAAGGTCCTGCCAGCTTGCCCTGAATAAGTCAGGGACCATAATGAGGTTTCCAGAGGTATGGCTGGAGCTTATAGCTCTTTCCAGACACTTCTGAAGATATTTTAAGGGCAATCTAGACACATATATACTTTTCATGAGCTCCTGTGCAGACTTGAAGATGAAAGATACAATTTAAAAGGTCAGTATTGGAAAGTAGATATATAGACTATAAATAAATACTTGAGAGGCCTCTGCAAATTTTTCTTTGTGTTCATAGAATCACAGAATGGTTTGGGTTGTAAGAGACCTTAACAATCACCTAGTTCCAACTCTGCTGCCATGGGCAGGGGCACCTTCCACTAGATCAGATTGTACTCTTGGGAATGGTCCTGTGTAGGGCTAAGAGTTGGACTCAATGATCCTTTGGGTCCCTTCCAACTGAACATATTCTGTGATTCTGTGATTCAGGTTGCTCAAAGCCTCATTGGCCTGGCCTTGGCCACTTCCAGGAATGGAACACCCCCAACTTCTCTATTTCCTACTTGATGTGATATGCATTGAAGACTTGCCTCTTGACTCCTATCTGGCTATGAGAACTATGAGAATGCCCAGTGTTTTTCACTGGTGAATGAGATGTGTGAGGTAATGCTTGAATCAAAGTGTAGGACTCTGGCTGCCCTGTATTGCACATTACTAATGGTACTGAGAAGTATTATCTTACAGGAGAGACTCAGAAAACAAAAAAATTAACTCACAAAAAGGACAAAAGGGCAAAACCAGGCCAAAACCCAAGTGACAGCACTTAGCATGATTCTTCAGGGAAGGAGGCATTCTAACAAATAATATCTTCTTAATAGGTAGCAGGTGTTCAAATTATGCAGTTCTGGATTTCAGTACATATCGCACAGGCAGCAGGAGGGAAGAATGTCCACTGCAGGAAAAGATCATCTTTTCTGAGGTCCTGTGGTGGTGTAGCTAGCAGGAGCCCAAAGCTCTGCTCTTTCCAACCCTTGAGCTCTGACAAAAATGAGGGTAGAGCAGTTTCTGTACTTTTCAGAGCACGTATCCTGCATTTCTTTCAAACCTTTATTTAGTCAGTATTGATGGTTTATGCTATTCTTCCTTGCTCTAAGTTAAAAAGCAGGCTATATCTGATCTTCAGTGATTTCCACTGTCATTTATGTACATTTATAGATTTAATGTGCACAGCAACTGCCTTACAGGATGTGTTAATAGAGACTCAGCTGTCTTCTTACACTATTTCTCTTCAGGCTAGTTAATAAAGTCATGCCCTGGAGGCTTAGGATAGTAACTCTGCCTCTCTTTGTCCAGAATCCCTCACGTTCCTTCTTCAATGGCATTTAACTGCATTATATTTTAAATGAAGGTCCCTGTTCTGTTTCTTTCCTCCAAGTCTGTAAGTTTGATCAGTAGCCCCTTATCACAATTTATTTTGCATACGTGCTGTTTGGTTCACAGTGCCTCTGACAAGGACTCTTATTGCACCTTCACAATGCACCAGTAGGTTGCTGACTGCATCCCACATGATGATTCTTACCACATGGCAGGGAAAGTTCCATTCCCACTGCAAGCTGGGCTGCCTTGGTCTCCTCCCCGCATGTTTTCTGCTGGGTCAGGCTGAGTATGATCACAGCAATTGTCAGTAATCAAAACGCATAGCTGTGGCACGCTTCTTCGGGAAAAACTGCTCCTGGGTATTTTATGGAGGAAGATCATAGTGAGCACATACTGCTTGATGTCTCTTCCTGCTTTGATCTCTGCTGCCAGGCAGAGAGCAAATGGGAGGTAAGTAACGTGTGTGCCATGCCTCTACAGGTAAAGTGGTGATAGATGTGTCACTGCCAGTGTTTTTTCAGTTCCTACCAAAGAAATCAGATAATTTGGTTGGTTTAGGAATTATGGATATACTTTTACAGAATATTTTCTTCTTTTTGCCCTGCCTTAGCTTCCCTATTTTTCCCCTGAGTTTTTTGCTCTGTGGACAGAAGATGGACTTTTTGTGCCCCATCGAATAATTGAAACTCAATAAGATGTTGTTCTTGACTGTTCCTGACTCAAGTCATCTGGGAGTTTGGGTGGGATTTGCTTTCTTTGTACAGTTCAATACTGTAGGTGAACTGAGATATTTCAGCATACTGACAGTGGGCACTTGCCGGCCTTGAGCTGCCTGCAGAGACTGGCAACTAGAACTAGAGGTTACAGCAGGTTTTCTAAATTGAAAAGTGTCTCAAATTATCCACCCTGCCCATGCAGGCTACAAAATGGCTCCAGTTGCTAACAGCTTGCAATATGGTTTGATCCCAAAGTAAAAGAAAGGAAAGAGCTTAGGCCTGGCACTAACACTGCAGGATGACTGTTTTCATTTCAAGCACATTCAGAAAACAGGATTTAGTGAATCCTAAAACATTATCCATGAATTAGCTGCAGGAAATTCAGCTCAAATATGCCTCTAAACAACTTTATTTGACTTAATTCAAATATCTTAAAAAAAAAAAACAACAAAACCACGTAGAAATGTACCACAGCTTCTAGTTCTGTACTAACTGTTTGTACCACTTTTTACTTGCAATCAAGGTGGAGACTGAAATTCTTGTGGTGAAACCTCATGTTCTTAATCGTCACATTCTGAATGAAACTCCATGAGGGTTGTCCCTTTTCCATCACATACCTGCTTAGTTGCAACTATACCTTAGATTTTGACTTTTGGTCTCTACCAGACTGTGGAGAGGCATATTAAAAATAGGGAGCACATGGTCTTAGAAAGTTTTGATACAAATTATTCAACATCCTTTTAAACATCCTCTTAACAGGTTTTTCCTGTATCAGTATTCTTCAGAATTTATTTTCTTTTGAAGAGTATCTTGAGATCTCAAGAGTTTGCATTAACTATGGTATAAACATCTGTTGGCAGACAAACCCTGGCACAAAAACTTTTTAAGATAACAAGATAGAAAAAGATAGCTAAGAAATTAAAAAGGAAGATGTACTATTCAAAAATATAAAAAGGTGTGGAACAGAAGAACAGGGAGGTCAGACACCTGTCCAAAACCACCCAGGAAGTGTGTCAGAATCAGAAATTAAATCCAGGTGTTCTCCATTCAGATTCAGCAATGTGAGCAGGCTGACTACCATAGCATATATACCATAGAATGTAAGATTTTACTGGGACAACCTCTGCCAGCACCGAATGTTGCGTGTGTCCCAGCTGACACTTTCTGGGAGGTGTGCTCATTTGAAAGTGAATTTTGCATCCTTTCTCCATATATTCTAAAAGAAATCAATTAAGCAAGCTATATTTCAAATGTGAACTTGCTGCTGTTCATGAAACAGCTTAGGCTGTCCTCTCATAATTTAGGATGTCAACAGGCCCCTTGATTGAAATACAGCCTTGAAATCCACCTCTTTCTTCCAGACTGCAGTATGTATTATTCTTGTAGTTTTTAAAGACAGCTGTGTGAATTAATGAACTGATCTGAGAATCGAGGCTGGCCAAGAGCACCATTTAAAAGTCGTGTAGATGACCTCATAAAAACTGCAAAGAATGCTTACAGCTTGCTTGTAAAACAAATCTATTCCTTAATAACTCAAAATGCCCACATAATTCAGTACACATTTTAACCCAAGTGAGTGCTTCATAAGAGAAGACGAAAATTTCCCATGAAAAAGACATTTAACTGGTACAGGCAACTATAAACTTTAATTGATATTTCACAGTATGTACAAGTTTGCTCTCCAGGGAGTGTAGAATATCATTTTTGCACCTGCACTCTAACTGCAGTCTTATAGTATTTCAGCCATTAAACATTTTTCATTAAAGGACTTCATATAGAATTAGTATAATCTGATTTTAACAAAAGCATTCTATATATAGGTTTTTCACACCATATTAATGCAAAACTGTTAGAACTGGAGAAGCTGTATTGTGCAGGCAACCCCCAGATTTCTATCCACAGCCATTTGTAGGGGTGGTCTGTACTCAGAGCACCATATTTGTAAAACATATTTATGGTAATGTACTTTAGTGTATCTGAGAAGAAAGATATTTCTAATAAACTAGTGTTTTTTCCATGTAAATTGCTTTTTTTGTGCTAGATTTCCCCAAAGAAATTGGGGAATCTAGTGAAATAGCAGTTTATGGTACAGCGCAATAGTATCACATTCTTTACAACTTCCATCCTTGGCAGTCATAAAACCTAACAGTAGAAAGGGTGTTTGCATATTGGGCAGCAGAGGGAATATTTTTGGATGGCTATAACTTAGCAAATCTGCAGAAATATTTGTCTTATGGCTTGCATTTAATAGCTGTTATCTAGCTGGCAATCAGAGGTGAACAGCTGTGCAGTTTTAAGATGTATGATTTTAAAACAATGAACTGGAGGTCTTGCTAAATGGTTCAAATTAGATGTGGGTAGTAGCAAACATCACAGGACTTTTCACCTTGTTGGAGACAGAGATTGAAGTTGAAAGTGCTTTACAAACTCAGTGAAACAGCACCTCCTTAGTCATTTGTAAGAGACCCTTGAGAATATCTGCAAGTTTCCTTGAAAATATTTTCTGGG